AATTTGTAAACAGAATATTGTGATAAAATTTTTTGATTATTTTGAAAAAACGAATACATCAAATTGTTAATTTGTTTACGTAAATTTGGTATAACTATTCGTAACAGTTATTCAGAAGCTAATTTTCTTTTACACCAATCTTTTAAAGTCCCTGATTCACGATTCCGTTTATATACTATATACCGCATTTCACCGTTTTTAAACCACAAATCTTTCGATTTGTCCTCTTATATTGAAAGAAATTTTTTTTAATCATGATGTATTCTATCATGTCTAATTAAATTTTTTCTTAACATTTTAAATTTTTATAATTTTAATTTTTATAAATTTTATAGTTTAAAATTTTATAAACATAACAAGGTTTAAAATAAGGATCATAAACAAATTTACATTGTTCAATTAACCAATCTATACATTCCATATAAATATTAAAAGATGTCATAATTAATTTGTAATGTTTATTTTTATAACGAAGCATAGTATATGTTCGTTCAAAAAAATTAAATACATGTTGTATAACTAAATGTTGAACAAGTAAATAATGTCTTTTATATAAATCATCAGACAAGTTAATAATGTTATAAAAACAATGTTGATAATGTAATAAAAACAATTTTTTTTTATAACAAATAATGTTATAAAGTTTTTTTTTCAAATTTTTTTTTTACAAGTCAAAAAAAAAAAGTGAGAAGGGGACACAGACGTAATAAACGTGCAAAACGATATATTTTTATTCACAAAAAATCTAAACCACATACACGTTTAAGTAACATGATGGGTAGAGGTAATGTAGTTTTTTGGCTTACTAGAAAATTTAGTATACCTTGGTAAAAACTCTATACTTTAATTATATAACATTGTTAAGGTAAAAAAATATAATTATTTTTAAAAAGGTAACAAATATCGTGGTTTCTTCCTTCCCAACCCGTCTGTGATTTTCTCATCCCGACCGCGTTTTTAGAAGATTAAGAGGTGGTATGGATCCAGTGGATAAGTTATTTAATCGATATTTTAAACTTTAGAAATAAATTAGTTTAAAAAAGAATGTCATCAAGCGAAGGACGTTTGTTTAAACAAAGTTATTGCAAATATGCTGATAAAAGATATCACAAAAAAGAACATTGTAGTAATTGTTATACTAACGCATACGTTAATATTATTAAAGAAGATTTGGAGTTTTATAAACTCATACTTAACGATATAGGAGTATATTCTTTAAATGACATAAGAGCCGATGTAACAAGTTATGGCGAATATATATAAACATTTAAATATTTTAATGAATATCTATGCCAGATAATAGGCGGAAATAAAAAAGAAGGACATACAGATATTTCTACTTTTTTAGGAGGATTTGTTATTAATTATAAAGTACGTTCTGGATTATATATTTTTGTCATGTAAATAAAGGCAATATATATATATATTGGTTATGAATTACCTACAATAAAATAATATATTTAATACTGTTGTTTTTTCTTTATTTTTTTTTAAAAAAGTTTATATAAAAGAATAAAAAACGTTTATTTAAACGTTAATTTAAAAAAAATGGACGCAAAAGCTTTTAAAGTTTGTCTCTTACAATTTTATAATGATAAAAAATTGAATAATTTTCAAACAAACGATAGTTTGAAAGATGTAATTGGAAATTTCAAGTTATTTTTTCGCTTGGACGGTAGCAATCAAATAAAAGTAACTCGTTCAAACGATGTAGCTAACATTAATTTAATGTATGATTTTATATATGAAGATGAAATGCCTTAAAATCAAAAACCATTTAGTATGAGATATGATGAATTTGTATCAGTTATAAAAGATTCATTATCAATATGGTTGTTAAAAGAATGCGAATAGAAAAAAGACGTACTCGTAAAGTTAAACGAAAACAACGAGTTCGTGGTTTATCAGACAACGTTACACCTCAAAATGTAACTAATGTTTTAAAAGCGGGTTCGTTATTGTACAGTCTAAGAAAAGCATGGAAAGGAAAGAAATCAACACCCACCGTAACAAAAACAGTTGCAATTCAACCATCCGTTAACCTATATAAACCTGCGGATAAAAGTTTTGAAGTGTATTAAACAATTTTTTTGTATATACATTTATTTAAACAATTATAAAATACAAAGTTAATTTAATTTGTTTTTCTTGCGTCTTGTGTTTCTTTGACTTTTTTACTAACAGTTTTTTTTTTCCTTGACAAATGTCGCATTTTAGTTTATTTGTCTTTATTAAAAATGCTATTTTCTTTGAAACTTTGTACTTGTTCGAATTGTTCATACGAGATAGCCAAACTTCATCATTGAATACGTGAGCTTTACAATTTTTCAATATATTTAATAATTTTGGATCTTTTATTCGACTAATATAATATTTCCATATCCTGCACAATTTTCGCATATTTCTTCTATAAATTTTTCTTATGTGCTGCTTAAAGCTACTTTCTGCACGTCTGTTGTTGACTTTTTTTAATATTAAATTTTAAATAAAGCGAGTTTTTATTGCTTTTTTTGTTATGACATCATCACAAGGAACATCAATAAAATTGTTTATATCTTTTAATCTTCTGTAATCGAAAAAATACATATCGTTCATATTTTCGTGTTGTTTTAAATAAAGGTTTTCTTCGTTCATAATGTCTCTAATGGCATTAATATCTTGAATAGATATTTTATCCCATTTACATTCATTGTTTGTTCTCAATAATCTGGCATCGTTTAACAAACTTCTAATTTTGTTATTGGTCATGACTTCATTTTTAAAAATATCATTTTCTATAGGAATTTTCATTGTTACATTATTTCATTGTGACATTATTACGTACCAGACTCTCGTTTTTTCTTAAATTGAGATGTTGCTTCATGTCTTTTTCAAAATGTTGTTTAGCAGTAACATCCAAGTGTTTAAACAATTTAGTTCTAATAAAGTGAAAAAATGGAAGTAAATTTATCTGAGCTAGTTCGGAGGCATGAAGACTCAAAACTTCATAGAAGTGATAGTTCAATAATCTGCACAACAAAGGTAAATAAATTTGTCCATTAATAAGATAGTTTGGTAACAACGATATAAAATAAGCGGCATAAGGTCCGCACAAACTACCGTTTTCCCATTGAAAGCAAGTTTTGTTATAAGAATATAAAAAAGTTTGTTGACCAGTCATCGAACTATATTTTCAAATAAGTTTTGTAAACCAATAAACTTCATGATTATCGGATGTCCACTAGTAAGAAACGTGATGAGTTTGTCGCATGTAAAAACTTATTTCAATCTCATTACAATTAATGTTTAAAGTGTTTATTTGTATGTTAGTTTGTGTTTCTTCTTCAGCTTTAAACAAATGACTGGTGCTTCCAAAAAAAAGGTGAAATTTGTCGTAAACAGCTTTTTGTACCTAAACTGTCAAAGCAATAAAATAGTTAGCGTCTAATATAAGTAAAAGTCGCCAATGTTTTCCATTTTCTTTGCTTGTTTCCTTATTGTATATGATAAAAGTGGCGTTTTTTACCATACGTTGTATAATGTCAACATGTGTTCGAGTTTGACTTAATTCGTCAAAAGCGTAAACACCTATAAAGTAATCTTTCAAAAAGGTTCACTATTAAAATAACGAGACAAAGAATTGTTGGTACACATTATTCTTCTTTTTTAAACTAAAAAAACTTGAAATAAACAATGTTACAATGGCGTGTTAAAAAATTAATAAATAACGTTTTTTTGTAAAGACGTGCCTTCTTTTATGATTCCTCCAATGTTTCTTTCAACAGATTTCTTTTTCAATACACCATCTAGTTTTTCTATGATAGTTGAAGCGGTAGGTAATATTTTTGCTGTAAAAGTATCAATAAAACCCAGCAAATACACGAACGTCAGAAGGACGTCGCGAGGACGTCCTACTCTGACGGCCCGTTTATAGTCCCAAAGTGTAATCCCGCTTGACGTCAAATAAAGACGTCGTAATGCCGTTGCGTTTGTGACTATAAACTGACCGTCCGGATGTAGCGCTTTCATGACGTGAACTGTATGTTCATATAAACACGTATTTTGCTTGAGGAAAACCCCTTTCACAAATTCAAAAAAAAAACTTTAATAACAACCTAATTTTTCTTAGGCCTAATATTTTGTAAAAAAAAACTTATACTAGCCATTGCACGGAGTGATATTTTTCTCTTAGAAAAATCCAATTTCAGCAAAATAAAATACAAGAATAAAGACAAAAAAATTTATTTTAAAAAAAATCTCTAATATTAAAATAACATAAAGTTTCATTTCTTGATCATTAACTGTCGTCATTTCGTAGATTTTTCACACCACCTTTTCGCAAAGGAGCGTGTTTCAAAGTAACACCAATACTATTTTCCACATCTTTTTCAGTATATTTCTTCAACTTCGCAACAGTTGCTAGAAAAATAACGAAAACAATTTAAACTTTTTAATTTCAAATCTTAGTTTTCCAACTTGTTTTTATTAATCTAGTTGGCGTAAAACTAGTTGGCATAAAGTAATATTTCCCAAGTTTGTTATACGTCTAGACTTTAGCCACAAAGCTGGCCGTTTAGGGTCAAAATTTGATAAACTGAATTGCCATTATGCAGCTATTAGCTATATGAGTAATTGTCTTCAACAAACATTTTATATATAATTTTAAATCAGGGTTGTCCACTCAAAAACTTAAAAAATTACAGCATATTTTTAAATAACAGCCTTGTCCCTAGTTTTTCCAGCAGACACCCTGTATATTTTTCTAATTGTAACTAATATTATTTTTTCTAAAATTAAAAAGAATAATTTTTTTTGTAAAATGACTAGTTTAAAGTATATCTATCTATTTATCTACCTGTCAGCTGTCTCAAATTTTAACAGTGCTAATAATATTTTAGAATTGAACTGAAAAAGTGCAATTTTTCTCTAATTTTTATTAATAATTGTTCTATTATTAATAAACGTTCTAATTTTGTAACAAATAAAAATAACTTCCCAACTATTAACTTTATTGTATTTGATTTTCGAAAAGACAGCTTATTGAACTTCCCGTTCAAATTGTATTCGCTCATGACGCCATTTGACATAACCCTCAAAGTAACCCTCAAAAGTACACATGTGGTTTACCACCTCAAACAAATGAACTTAAAAAACCTATCATCAAAACAAGGAAGATTTGCGGGGCCCAATATAAAGATATTTTTATATTTTTCTAATTTTCCCCAGACCCATATGTACAATTCATGATTCTTGTGGGGGCCATGGTATAATATATGGTAATACAATAATAATTATCAACCATTTCTATATGTCAAAACCATATTTTTTAATCAAAATAATTATTTTTAACCATATTTTTTAATCAAAAAAATCAAAAATAGGATCCATAACCAACGTACTTGTTCATAATATTCCTAACATATTCATGACATGTTGCTCCTCCACAGTTTTCAAAGCGACTAAGCTAAACAAAAACAATGTAGAAGTTTCTAAGTGTTTATAAAGTTCTCTGCAAACAACACGCAACTCGAGTGCTTATTTGTTCTAACTCCATTTTTAAATGTTGGGAGATGTTAATTAGTGACCTTTTAAAGGTAAAATATTATTTGCTATCAAATTCACTAATTATTTATAAGCAAAAAAATTAAAATGAAAAATTATTTTATTTTTATTTTATTTTAATTATTTCTTTCAGATATTAACTTTGAAACGTTCATTTAACATTTTAAAATGGATTTAGAATAAATAAGTACTCAGGTCACGAACCTGAAACGAAGTTCAAATTACTTAGTTGCACTGGGAAGATTTTTAAAAAAGAACATTTTTCAAATTGCCACCTAAAACGTGTTGTATTTAAATAAAAATAATTATGAATTTCTGAAACAAAATTCTCAAAACACATCTTTTTATCATTTTCACTGAGAGTATCATCAAACTCTTTAAATTTTTCAATTTCAGTTAATTGTTCAATAAAGAAAGGTGAATCATCTTTTTCATATCGCTGACCAAGTGACTTAATCATCTCTTATAAAACGATAAAGTTCTCAAAAGCTTTTGATTGGAATCCTATAATATAAGAACTTGTTTAGTCTACTTTGAGATTCAAATTATTATTGTTTAATAATACCCATGTTGATTAATGTCAACCATTTTACATAGTTATTTAGAGAAACTAAATTTAAAAAAATCTAAACAAAAAATATACTAACTTTGAAATGATGCAACAGATATACTCATTGTATCTGTACTATTATTCGAAAACACCTGATTCTTCACAGGAGACAACGGTTCAGAGCTACTGCTATTACTGAAATCCACTGGTGCTGTTAATATTCAATGACATGAATTTTTAAATTCAACAAAGATTAAACATGATTCAACATGTACAACATGTCTAAAGTGTTATCAAAATCACCATATGCAAAAATTTAGCACAAAAAAATAGCATAAAACAAGTTTAAACAACATACTTAGAAATAATCAAAAATGGAAAGAATACTAATAAAATGTGCTCTTCGCATAACATCCGTAATTGATTTGATCTAAAAATTGAAGCATCCTCAATACCAACTTCCTTTTCTTTTTATCCGGGGAACTGTATTTAGGATCCTCCTCTACCAACTTCCTTTTGCTTATATCTGGGGAACTGGATTTTGGAGAGTTAAACTCTATCAGTAAATATATCATTAATAACTTTTGTTTATTATTTAAGGAATTTATTACCATAAACTGTCAATAATCATTAAATGCAATTATAAAAAATAAGCGATATTTGGAATTAAAATTAGAAGAAGAATGAATGAAAAGGTTGCTGACTCATACCAAAACCTCAGTCGATGTAGCAACACTCCACTGCGAGTCAGGCTATTTGTCAGTCGATGTATGTACTGAAGCCCCCAGCAGCAGGCTATTTAAAGTTAGGTGAAAAAGAAAGGATTTTGTAATTTGATCTAAATTTTTTCGGTTGTAAAATTCGGTTAAAAAATTTTCTAAAACCGGAAAGTTTTTAAACCGAATTTTACAACCGAAAAAATTTGGATCCGAAAGTATACTTTTCAAACCGAAAATGATGGCGATAGTTTTCGTTTTTTAGAGGTCTTTATTGACTTGTGTTCAACATTCTAAAGTTGTTTTTAAAGTTGATGTTAAAAGCAAAAAAAAAATAAAAAAATTTTCATCATCTATATATATTTAAATTCAGTTTTTATAGTCGTGTAAATTTGCGTAAGAAAAAAAACCATGCACTGCCGAAGAAGCATAAAAATGTCTTGTGTTTTTAGTAATTACATTATCATAGTAATAATAACAATAACAATAGTAACGATTAAAGTCAGTGAATAAAAGTAATGATTATAAATAAAATAGTTTAGTTTTAAGCATTTAGTTTTAAGCAAAAAGAAATAGTTTGTTTTTTTAAAATGTTTTGAGCCAAACTCTACAATAACAATTTTATAAAGAACCATATACATAAAATAAAACAAATGTTTGGAATAAATCTCTTTTGTTAAAATTGTCTCAGTAGATGTTTTATCTTGCTTTGTCATAAACGGAAAAGAACTAGCTAATGCATCAGAAACTAACAGTTCTTCTGAAGTATTTGTTGCATCGTGCAACACTGGTTGCAATGAAAATGTTGAAGAGTCTAAGGAAAATGCTGAAAGCAAATCGTTGAATCTTTTAGGACTTTGAAGAGTGTCAACACTTCCGGATATTTCCTACAATAAAAAATTTCTTTTTATACACTAAGCAAAATTATGAGTGGCTATTGGGTAAAATGTATTATAAATGTATTACCATGTATGAAACCTTTGGCATTTTGGACACCATTTCCTGATCGATGGAATTGAGCTCTTCCGTGCATTTCTAACCCCCACCAGTCTTGTTTATACTAAATATGATACGTGCTGCTTTGCCTTTGCTGTCTGATTTCTGATCAGACAACTTCTTTGTACATTGAAGAACTGTGCGATCTGGACCAACAAGGTAAACTTGATCCGCAATTTTGCTCCATACATCATCTTTTGTTAATTTTGAGATAGCTGAAAATAATGTTTTTGTAGTTTTAAATTCTTAAGCGTTAAAAGCTTTGTTATTAATACTATATATTAAATCTTAAGAAAAGAATATCTTTAATGCAAGAAGAAATTTTTCCATTAAACAATTGTTTTTTCTCATTGTAGAGCTTAATCAAAAGAGTTAACTGTTCAATCGTCCAATTTTCAGCTCTTTTTTCGAATCTTTAATGTTTTCTGACACTTGAGAAATAAATTTTGTCAAAATATAAGCAGCTACATTTTTACCATATCATTATACTAAAATAACATAAAATAACTCAAAACATAAATATATAATGCAGATATATTTATATATATTATACATATATTTTATATACATAAAAACAAAGTACCTACTTCTTAATAGTGAAATGTTATTTGTTTTATTTTAAAGAGCTTTATTTTGTTAGCTTTTCTGTTATGATTTCACTAGATGTTATATAGTGAACAGTGTAGACATTATTAGTTAATTTACATATTTATATTTTTAAATTTATTTCCTTATTAGCTCATTTCTTGAGCAATTAGTATACTGATCCAATAGCAGGAAAAATACGCGTTCTTAGTATAAATTGTTTGAAACAATAATTAGTATTTTTTAACAAACTTCTTGAGTAATCGTTAGATCAGTAAAATCTAGTAATCACTCAATAAAGAACTTATTAGAAAAAAATATTAAAGACACCATTATCTAATAATGTTTACACGGTTTCCTAATCACTATATCGTATAATATGTATATAAAATATCTAAACATATAGAATTACTTTTATTATATTTTATTTTTAAATTTTATTATTTCTGATGCCTATATATATATACATATATTTATATATATATATATATATATATATATATATATATATATATATATATATATATATATATATATATATATATATATATATATATATATATATATATAAATAAGAAAAAAAAGATTTGAAAAAATAGTATAATAAAAGTAATTATATGAAAAGAGAGTTGTATTAATTATAACAAATGATTTTAAAACTATAATCATAAGTTTTTGCGCAACTCAAGCGCAACCTTAACTTTACGCAAATGCTGCGAAAAGTTTGTGAATACTAAATAGTTACGAAAAAAATTATTTGCGTAAGTTTTTCGTAACTTTAGCTCAGCTACGCAAGAGTTACGCAAATGTTGTAAATCCGCACCCAGGATAATTATTTTGATAACGATATGTGGGATTTTTTTTTTCGATACAAATTCACGAGAACAGAAGAAATGCCTTATAATCATCAATTTGTTGTTTTGTTGACAGAAGGATTTAAAGAACATTTTAAACGTAAAATCATTTTTTACCACAAAACTTTAAAATATTTTATGATTTTTTTAACGATTATATATGGTTAGATTCTTTTATTTTACGAGTTAACCAATTGAATGATGAAGATGATGATGAAAGAAAATGTTATTATTGTAATAATCTTTATTAATTTGTAATTTTTTTTTCAGTTATAATGAAATGTAAAGAAATAAACGAAGAACAATAACGTCTATGTGGTCGATGTGGTCGAAAAAATGTTGACATGTTTGTACTTAACGAATATGTTGATGAATCAGTTTTAAACAAATTAGATAAAAAATCAATCTCTATTTTAAAAGAGATTGTTTTAGATATTTATTCAAATAAATATTTAATATTCAAAAATCAAAACAAAAAATAATATCTCAATATCTTATCAATAGTTTAAAAGATGTGTTTTGGAATGCTCAAACTTTACCTATAAAAAATCGTAATACGATAGTGCATACGTATTTGGCTTCGATTCAAAGTTTGATTGCAGTTTGCGAAAAAGGAATAAAAATAACAGAAGATATCATTAACAGATATGAAAAAAATGAATATTACCTTTATAGCATGAAAAGACATAAAAAATTTTAAAAATTTGAAATAAATTAAAAAATGATTTGATGGATTGTTTAAATTTGTATATTTGTTGTCCTTGTTGCGATAATAATAAATGTTATTGCAAATTATATTTGTGATTTATAAAATTGATATTTAATTTTTTAGATGTTAAAAGAAGCTAAACTAAATGATATTTTGGAATTGTTAGAAATAGATGCCATTTCTATTATGCCACACGGAGAAATTGTTTCTATAAAGTTATAACGGATGAAATATATAAAAAATGGATCGTGAATTTAAAAACAAATACAATTGGGGCACTTTGGTTTCTACAAATAAAAGACAAGTTTCATTTAGATTATGTATTACTATTCTTAGTTTTATTTTATCAAAATTCAACTTTTCGACTGAAGAATTTGAAAAGTGTGAATTTTTAGAATTTTGTCGTTTTTTTAAAAATTACCGAGAAAAAAATATATATTTGTTAATTAAATCAACTTATTGATGAAACTATAAAATGGTATCAAAAAAAAACGAAAACTGACAGAATCGAAAC